TAGCCTTCTCTGTGTCTCAAATCTCTTTCTTTTTGAGACAGAGTCTCGATCTGTTGTCCAGGCTGGAGTGCAGTGGCACGATCTCAGCTCACTGCAAGCTCTGCCTCCTGGGTTCATGTCATTCTCCTGCCTTAGCCTCCCGAGTAGCTGGGACCACAGGCGCCAGCCACAACGCCCAGCTAATTTTTTGTATTTTTAGTAGAGATGGGGTTTCACTGTGTTAGCCAGGATGGTCTCGGTCTCCTGACCTTGTGATCCACCCGCCTTGGCCTCCTGAAGTGCTGGGATTACAGGCAGAGCCACCATGCCCGGCCCTCTCCTTTCTCTTATAAGGACAACAATCACTGGACTTAGGACCCATTCTAAACTCAAAATGATCTCATCTCAAGATCCTTAATTGCAACGACAAAGACCTTACTAACAAAAACATCCACTGTATTAGTTTGCTAGGTGTATTTTAACAAAATACCACAACAAGTCAAATCAAGATGTCAGCAGGACTGGTTTCCTTTGAGCACTAAGCGGAAGACTCTGTTAGGCGTATCCTCTATCTTCTGGTGTTTGCTGCCAATCTTTGGTGTTTCTTGGCTTGTAGAAGTGTCATTCTGACCTCAACTTTCATGTTTATGTGGCATTCACCCTGTATGCATGCATCTGTGTCTAAATTCCTCCTTTTTATTTTTATTTTTTAAATTATTTAGAGACAGAGTCTCACTCTGTTATCCAGGCTGGAGTGCAATGGCATGATCTCAGTTCGCTGCAACCTCCACCTCTCAGGTTCAAGCGATTCTCATGCTTCAGCCTCCCAAGTAGCTGGGACTACGGGCACAAACCACGATGCCTGGCTAATTTTTGTATTTTTTAGTAGAGACGGGATTTCGCCATGTTGGCCAAGCTGGTTGCAAACTCCTGACCTCAGGTGACCTTGGCCTCCCAAAGTGTTGGGATTATAGGCATGAGCTGCCATGCCCGACCAAAATTACCCCTTTTTATAAGGACATCAGTCATATTGGATTAGGGCCCACCCTGATTACCTTAACTAATTACATCTTTAACGACCCAATTTCCAAATTAGGTCATATTCTGAGGTGCTAGCTGTTAGAACTTCAATATAAGAGTTCTTAGGGACACAGTTCAACCCATAACAGTTATATTCCTAGGAACCAGGAGTTATGACATAGACATATCTTTCAGGGTGTGTGTGTGGGGCGGGCCGGGGGGAGACACAGTTCTGCCCACTACAGCATTTGCTTTTGTGTTTAAATATTTTAAATATTTCACTCCCCTCTCTTTTTGGTTGTACATGGCTGGTACCATTCCAGAAGGAAAGTTTATTTATTATATACAATGGATGCCTTAGCCACTTTACCCTTAATATTTCAATGTGTATTTCATAGAATAAGGATATTTTCTTACATAACTGCAAAAACAATAATATTCAGGGAATTCAACGTTAATAAAATATTTTGTCTAATCTACCATCAATAGTCTAGTTTCCTCAATTGTCCCAGTAATTTTTTCCCTTGAAAAGAATTCTGCTCTAGATCACATATTCATTTAGTTGTCATGTATCTTTTTAGTGTCTCTTTCAATCTAGAACAAGTCCTTAGCCTTGCCTGGCTTTCATGACATTGACATTTTTAAAAGAACACTGGCCGGTTGTTGTTTTTTAATACTATATGTCTGATTTTGGCTTTGTCTGATATTTACTCATGATTAAATTCAGGTTATACATTTCTGGTCAGAATACTACACAGTGTTATTATATCCTCCCTCACAGGTGATAGTAGTTTTGATCACTCAGGCAAAGTATTGTTTGTTTCTCTATATATAGTTACTATATGCCCCCTGGCAACTGGCAGGAGGCACTTTAAGACAGCAGTTCCCAACTTTTTTGGCAACAGGGACCAGTTTCATGTAAAGCAATTTTTCCACAGACAGCAGATTGGGGGTGTAGGAGATGGGGAGATGGTTTCAGGATGAAACTGTTCCACCTCAGATCAGGAAGCTTTAGATTCTCCTAAGGAGCACACAACCTACATGCCTCAGATGCACAGTTCACAGTAGGATTTGAGTTCCCGTGTGTTCCTGCCACTGATCTGACAGGAGGCAGAGCTCAGGCGGCAATGCTCGCTCACCTGCTGCTCACCTCCTGCTGTGTGGTCCATTTCTAATATGCCACGGACCAGTACTGGTCTGTGGCCTGGGGACTGGGGACCCCTGCTTTAAGATCATGCAAATATCTTGTTCCTCATCAAACCTCTCCTCAATCCTGACCCCAGATTTATACCCATTAATGATTCTTGTCCAATCAATCTTTACTATGATAATTGTAAAATGATTCTCTAATTTGACTGTTTATTCTACATTTATTAATCAGCATCCTAGCATATGGTAAAGTCTTCCTTTTCACCAATTTATCTATCATCAGTATGGACTCATGAGTTCCTATTTTTTCAATGGTTCAATATTGTCCTTATTTATTTTGATAGCAAATAGTCCTAGTTTGGCCAGTAGGAGCCTCTTCAAGCTAGCTTCTGTGTTCTTTCAACAGGCCTTTATCATTTTTTAAAACACTTCCTTGCTTTCTGTTAACATTACGATGTTCCAAGATGATCATACCTTTTCTTCCCCAGCCCTGGAGACCAGCCATTTCTCCAGAAATCCCCGATTCCTTTTAGTAGGAAATGGTATTAGAAAACAAAATATGAGTTCCGGACATACTGATTACTTATCAGGATAAGTCTGAGTCTAGATCTGTGCTGTCCAATTTGGTAGCCATTACCCACATGTGGCTACTTAAATTAAAATTAATAAAAACAAAATAAATTAAAAATTCAGGATGGGCACAGTAGCTCACACCTGTAATCCCAGCACTTTGGGAGGCTAAGGCAGGAGGATCACTTGAGTCCAGGAGTTCAAAACCAGCTTGGGCAACATAGTGAAACTTCTTAAAAAAAAAATGAAAAAAAAAAAAAACCCTCAGTTCCTCAATTACATAAGCCATGTTTCATGTGCTCAATAGCTACATGTGTCTAGGAGCTACGATATTGGACAGTATAGATTTATAGAGCATTTGAATCATTACAGAAAGTTCTATGGTTCTCAAGACTTTCCATAAAGAAAAAAAAAGTAAGTTCTATGGGATATGGAATATCACTATTCTAGACCATCGCAGTAGGCAAATCTAGGAAACACACACACACACACACACACACACACACACACACACACACTTTGAGTTCCCATTCTCCATTGCCTTTTAAATATTTTCCTATGTTCCACTTCATTAATTCTTTAACACATTAAACGATTATTTATTGAGCACATTCTATCAGATAGGTACTCTTCAAGGCCCTGTAGATCTGGAAATAAAAAGATACAGCCCCTATTCTCTGAAAACATACCATACTTTTTTCTGAGAAGTCAGAAATGATTATAAAATAGTATAATAAATTCCAACTTAGCAAGGTTAAAACAAAATATATATATGTATAGTATATATATATGATAATATATATACCATTCTGGGGATGTCAAGGAAGGCTTCCTGAGAGAAATGACATTTAAATTAAGTTTAGAAAGGTAAATAATTATTGGGTTGACAATATGGCAGACAAGCTGAGGGTAACAGAATTTGCTATTCTCCATTACTTTTTTCATCTTTGTTCCAATTATTCACTTAAAATTCTTTCTTTCTCTTCATCATAACCTTCAAAACTCTGCTTATCTTTCAAAACTCATCTTTTCTATATATTTCCTAATACCTCTAACCTTACAAACCCTGAAATATACTGTCTTTACTGATTTCAGGCCCACAAAAGATCTGGTTTATTCTTGTTGCTATAAATGTTTATAGAAAGAACATAGGCTTTGGAATCAGATTTACTGCCTCAGCCTCCCCAGTGGATGGGATTACAGGCAGCCGCCACAATGCTGGGCAAATTTTTGTATTTTTCACGCTGGGCTAATTTTTGTATTTCTAGTAGAGATGGGGTTTCGCCATGTTGGCCAGGCTGGTCTCGAACTCTTGACCTCAAGTGATCCGTCTGCCTTGGCCTCCCAAAGTACTGGGATTACAGGCATGAGCCACCACGCCCAGCAGGAAAAGTCTTTTAATAAAAGCTAATTTGTCAGAATCCACATTCCTATTTATAACTGGACCCTGATAAAAGAGTTTACAATTGGCTCCTAATAAAACAAACATCTTTATTTTAATACAAATATATTTAAATAGATAATGTAATGATAATCAGAAACTATTAAATAGTAGTATCAATAATTTCTTTCCTTTGATATATTAAGAAATCTAAAATAATTGTGGGGGGGAAGCATATCCAGCAAGAACTAGAGATAACTTATTTTTCCTTTCATCACAGCTGGTTTAGAAGTACACTAACGGAAGTATCCCCATTATTTTGTTCACACATGAAAAATATGTTTTTCAAAATGAATGTTTCTAATGAAGTATACTTAATTTGTAAAAACTGTAAGCATGAACATCTAAAATTGTATTGCTTATATTCTAGAAGAAGGAAAAGGAACACTCAACAAAATTAATAAATACCAAACCTAAAAAGGAAAGCAATGTTACTTCTTCCAAAATAACTGAAGCTGTGCAGATTTTCTTCTTCTGAGCAAATATTTATGAGACAAATATGTAGTACATTTGTGTTTACCTTCTTATCTTTGCCAGTACATTTTAAAAATCATCTTGACATTTCATTATCTCTCAAATTAGTTTAGGCATAATAGATTTTTTTTTTAACTAGGGATGTGAGAAGTTTCAGAGTACACTGCTTGCAATGTTTAAAAAATTACTAAAGCCCACTTTAGTATTATTAACATCTACCATATCATTTATAAACTATATTTGTAAGTTTTATACATGTAATTATTCAAAATAAGTGTTATTCTAAATAACAATCTACATCTTCTCATACATGAAATATGCTGATGGTAAATCTTTGATCATGTTTTCTTCCCAAAGGCAGCCTTACCTGTGGAGTCCAGTAAAAAGTAGGGCTCAATCTGTAGAGTTTTCGTTTGTGGAAACTCTGAAGTGGCCTTGTTCGGGCTGATGTACTCATGAAAGTCAAGGATGAAGATTTCAGTCTTGTCCTGTCTTTTCTCTTTTTCTTACTGTGCTTCTGGTTAAGTAACCAGCTACTGGAGGAAGACAGCTCATCTAAATTCTCTGATGCACTGAAATGCCACGAAATAATTAGGGGATGGGAAGGGAATAAAACAAAACAAAACAAACAAACAAAAAAGACAAAGAAAACTAAATGTAAATTGCCTTGATCTATTATGACAGAAGAGTATTAATTTTAACCAATTTTGTGGTAACAATTGGTAAAATATTTTGTATTAATGGGAAATTACATATTCAAGTCATGAAAACCATTTTTACATCTATTTTCTCCTGCAAAAAAAAATCCCATAAGTTAGAAAATGCTCACGAGTTTACTAGTGTGATGTAATTGCTCATTGTAAATCAATAATTCATGTCAATTACAGTGTTTTAACTACACAAAATTCTTTTTGTGTACGATGAAAATACATAGATTACAGGTATTTAAAAGGGCTAAAGTCATCACTCCATTATCAGTTTCTCTTTTTTTTTTTGAGACGGAGTCTCTCTCAGTCGCCCAGGCTGGAGTGCAGCGGTGCGATCTCGGCTCACTGCACACCACCGTCTCCTGGTTTCAAGAGATTCTCCTGTCTCAGCCTCCCAAGTAGCTAGGATTACAGGCACCCGCCATCATGCCTGCTAGTTTTTGTATTTTAGTAGAGATGGGGTTTCACCATGTTGGCCAGGCTGGTCTTGAACTCCTGACCTCAGGTGATCCACCCACCTTGGCCTCCTAAAGTGCTGGGATTACAGGCATGAGTCAGTGTGCCTGGCTATTAGTTGCTCTTATATAAGCACTATATATTAATAACATTTCAGTGAATTTTGAAACAGAGCTGTAACCCTACTATATTTTAGGATTTAAAAAAAAAAATTCCAGTGCTACAGAAACAACTATAAAATAATGAAACAGATCACCTAAGCTACACATGAAAAGAGCATAATAATTTTACATTTATTCTTTATATATTTTTGAACATATTTAAATATTTCAAATATTTTATAATATCAGAACATCAAGAGGATAACCCTCATTGCCACATAAATTTAACTTCATTTACACTATTATATAATATATACAATAATTAAGCTTTTCAGGCCCTACAAGGTACCAATTTCAACCTTAGTTATGTAGACAAAAGCTAGTCAATTTAGTATTCCAATATTAACAAATGAATCTGCTACTATGTGATACTGCTGTTCAATATGTAAGTTCTAAATATGCTATTTGGTAGAATTGGTGTTTACCAGTAAATATAAAATATGGTTTTTCTATAGCAGTATTGTGTTTGAATCATATTTATGGCTACTCTAAAATATTATATTAGCTTGTGGATAAAGTAAATAATTCAAGAATGCTTTACATAGTAATGAGAAACCAGAAATAAAGGTGTCTGAATGGCTTATGTTGGTAACACTAAACAGAATAATTAAACATGGTATTTGGTGACTATCATACATTCAACAAATACATAACTGATTATGTACTACTGGCCAGACCAGTATAGAAAAAAAGAGTTGATGACAACTATTTCACTTTTAATTAAGTCTCCAGAGAGCTCTAGCAAGAATGCTTTAAGTCTCGGAAAATAAAAGGTTCTAAAAATCTTTCATCATGTTGATGGCTAAGAAAGATTTAGGGTATAATGCTTCTCTCAAATTAACAGGTCCAATCTCACAACTAGATTTTATTTTCTGTCATATCAAGGGGGAGCAGAAGGCATACAGGAGAGCCAGTATGAAGTTAGGCACTGAACAGGCTAAGTGGCTAGCATAGAAGGGAGTCAAGGTCAAGAAGAAGACAGATTTCAGTAGGTAGCTGGCATTAGAGGCAGTTAAGTCAGGAGACATAGGATCCAGGAAGTTAGGAGTAGATCCAGCACCAAAAGAGGTTCTTTGTCCGGCAAGTCAGAAGCACCTTTAGGCAGAACTTACACTGGCTCTTAAAAGACATTGCTCTAGAAGTGTCTAGGGAAAATTAAAAGCTTATTCTGGAGCCTGAGACCTACTTAACTAACTTTTACCTCTATTTACAACTCTAGCTGTTAATGAGATATTAGCTTTCCCCTCCCCACAGAAGGCTTAGCCCAAAGAAGATGAGCCCACATCTTATGAAATGAAAGGACACAACTTCTGTACTGGCTAGAGGCTCATAGGCTGGCTTAAAGATAATTGGAAAGCTTATTATTTGTGTCACTAAATGTTATACAGTCGTGTCACTTAGCAATGGGGATACCTTCTGAGAAATGCGTCATTAGATGATTTTGTATTTGTGTGAACACCACTGAGTGTACTTACACAAACCTAGTTGGTAGAGCCTACTACACACCTAGACTATATGGTATAGTCTCTTGCTCCTAGGCTACAAACCTGTAAAACATGTTACCATACTGAATGCTGCAGGCAACTGTAACATGATAGACATGGTATTAGTGTATCTAAACATAGAAAAAGTAATGCATTGCTCTACAACATTATCATAGTTACAATGTCACCAGATTAATAGAAATTTTTCAGCTTCATTATAATCTTATGGGACCACTGTTATATATGTGGTCCTTCGTTGACTAGAAACATCATTATGTAGTGCATTATAGTATATAATTTTTAAATTTCTAAAGGGGCTGACATATTATCAGAGAAAAAAAAGTTCAGTTTTATTCTTTTCTTTATGTTCCCAACTGCAGGCAATTTATCTTTAGATTCTAACACTTTCTAATTAATAAGGATTCTTGCAAAGTATCAACATCTACCCTCAAATAAATGAAGGAATGCATGAAAATTTAAAGATGTGAAATATGTTTATTTCACTACTAATCAATGTGCAAACTGCATATTCTCATCAAAGCTAATGTAGTACAAAATCATTTCCATAAATAATGGATGAAGGTTATTGTAAATGGTTATTGCAAACCACTGATAAATTCACTTATTTCACACATTAATAATAATGAGACAGTCCAATCAATGAACCTCACTGAAAGCAAAACATGAGGAAAATCCTGAGAAAATTTTGAGGAAGACAACACAAGTCTGATCCTGTGCCTCTGTAATCTAAAGCTTTTTCCCCAGGAGATGATGATTCAGGTAATTAAGTATTGACTAAAATAGGAACTTAATGATATCTGTAAGACAAGGATATCATTAATAAATCAATAAGAGACACCATCATCACATGACATTCTGTTTTTAAAAAAATAAGGTTTATCGCTTTTTTAAAATCTTTCTTTCTTTATTTTTTACAGACATGGTTTCCTTCTGTTGCCCAGGCTGAAAGGCAGTAGTACAATTATAGCTCACTTCAGCCTTAAACCCCTGGGCTCAAGGGATCCTCCTGTCTTAGCTTTCTGAGTAGCTAGGACTACAGGTGTGCACCACAACACCTGGCTAAATGACAGTCTTTAAAAAAATTTTTTAAAGTCACAATAAGAAGAGGAGAAGGTCCAGAAGAAAAAGACTATTTCAATAAATGATAAGGCTTAGTGTTCCCACTGAGATTAAAGTGTACCTATGAAATCCTAGAAACTGAGGATGCAATAGGCCACCATCAAATATTGTTACAGAATAATTATCAAAATACAATTATTGGCTGGGCACAGTGGCTCACACCTGTAATCCCAGCACTTTGGGAGGCCAAGGTGGGCGGATTACTTGAGGTCAGGAGTTCAAGACTGGCCTGGCCAACATAGTTAAACCCCGTCTCTACTAAAAATACAAAAATTAGCCAGACCTGGTGGCACATACCTATAATCCTACCTACTCTGGAGGCTGAGGTAGGAGAATCACTTGAACCTGGGAGGCCAAGGCTTGCAGTGAGCCATGACCACACTACTGCACTGTAGCCTGGGCAACAGAGTAAGACTCTGTCTCAAAAAAAAAAAAAAAATATATATATATATATATATAGTTATCATTGTACTTCTGAAAGAGCAAGCTTACAAGTGGGAGAGAACCAGGCGAAGCAATAAATTATTGTTTTTTTTCAGATTTCCAACTGGATGCTGGAGAATAATAAAAATCTTCCAAATGATATAGTTTAGATCCTTTGGGTTGCAGGCATATAACATAACTTGGTCTGAAAAGGAATTAAATAATTGAGGATGGAGAAGTAGTGACAGTGGGTTTCAGGCTTATACCTTTCTATATTTCCCTGGCCTCCTCCCTAATCCAAGCTATCTTGTACCAGGCTTACTCAATAACCTTGTAACTGGTCTCCCTCATCCATCTAGTCCAATAGACACAGTCTCTGCACTACTGACAGTCTAGAGAGGAAGACAGAGGTTAATCAGATAATCATGCAAATAAATAAAAAATTATCACTATGAAAATGCTAGGAAGGAGAGGTGAACAGTGAGTGCTCACCTTTCAGAGCTCACAGGGAATTTGATCCAGTCTTTGGAGGGAGACCATGCAGGAGTTCAAAGAAAACTTCCCCAAGGAACTGACTTTGGAACTGTCCATCCCCTCTAGTCCCTTCTATACCAATTATTTGGAAAGAACAATCTGATCCTGTCATACTTGCCCTGCCACCCTGCCACACAAACACACACACACTGCTTAAAATCTTCCAACATCCTCCCATTGCTCTTGAAAGACTTAAATCTTTAATCTTTTAAAAGGCCCTGATAGGTCTGGCCTCTGCCATAGTTCTCTTGCCTCATCTTGCATGATGCTTTCCCTTGTTCTCTGTGTTCTGATAAAGAAAACAAACCTTTAATCTGAGAAATGCAAATCCCTTTAAATTACCAGGCCCAGAGAAGCATTAAAATGTGACATGTCATGCCTATAGTCCCGGCTACTCAGCAGGCTGAGGCAGGAGGATCTCTTGAGCCTAGGAGTCTGAATCTAACCTGGGCAACAAAGCGAGACCCTGTCTCTACAAAAATAAACAAAAATGTGACAGCAGTCATGTCTTGCTCCCCGCTTGAGCTCAATACTTAACTCTTGAAGTCACTTGCTATGTGGGCTCTAGACTAATTGACACCAAGTAGCCATAACATACCATACACTAGATACCTTAACAAACTATAGTTCAACAACATATAGACAATCAATAATCAATGTTACTTTT